CCTCAGGGGCTGGGGCCTGAGAAGGGCAAAGGGGAAGGGGCTGGTGACTCCAGCCTTCAGTGTGGCACAGAAAGCCCCGGAGTGGGGCAGGCTCCCCGGCAGCCTTTCAGCCTGAAAGTGAAAGGATACTGCTTTTCCTCCCAGGATGGCAATTCCCCCAAACGCCTCTTCTCTCCAAGGTAGAAAAACCATCAGGAAGATGCTAGGGGCCTCTTAGCAAGGACAGCTGAGTGAGGGGACATCGGCCCTGCCTTGGTCTCAGACCAAGCTGTGCCCCACCCACAGGTGGCTGCACGCAGGACAGAAGGACGTGTGGCGGGGCTCCTGGGCTGCTGCAGCTCTGTTTATCTGAAAATGGGCCCAGCAGTCCACAGTTTAAGAGGGGTCACTTGGCGAGATAGTTTTCAGGGTGGCTTCAGGCCAAAGATGGCCCTGCAAAGTGGGGGTTCCAACTGGATTTCCTGAGGGTGAGGGAACTAGGTGCCATGGAAGAGCTCCTGGGACCAGAGGCCCTGCCTCTCACAGTCCCCTCAGTTAACAGCTTAGACTCTCACATTTGGCAAGTAAAACAGAATAAATGTTACGCAAAAGAGGCAAGTCCAGGGCCGACCACATCCTGTGGGTGTTTTTAATGGTGGGAGGTAAGGGATGATAGCTGGAGCCCTAAGAGAAGGTAGGGAGGGAGGTGGGGCAGCTGGAGGCCATGGAGCAGCCTTAGGGGCAAGGCTGGGGCACCAGGTCTCTAAATTATAGGGAGACAGGCCCTGTGCTAAGTGCCTAGCACTGAATCATCAGCAAGCCTGTGAGAAGGGCACTACGGCATCCCCTTCTTTGTTTTTCAGATGAAAACTGTGGTCCAGAGAGGGTAGCTTAGTCACCAGGGTCACACAGCAGTCATGGTGGAACGGAGACGCAGGCCCAGGGCCTATGCTCATCACCACCAGGTATGGCAATGCTCAGGCAGGTGCAAAGGCAGGGGTACCCATGCTGGTCACAGGGAGCGAGCAGGGATTCGCAGACACCGAGCTCCCGCTGCCTTCATTCTGACAGGGCTTGCTACCGTGAAGGAAAGGAAGGCTATGGGACTGGTCCAAGGTCTGCTGGCTAGTAGTGGTAAGAGACGGTCAGAACTCCAACCCAGGTCTGGGCCACTCGGTTGCCTTCCTGTCTCTAACAGAAGACCCAGAATTATTTGGGAGAACAAAGCTCCCAAAATTGAGTTTGAACAAAGTGTGTTATCAGAGGTGGCGAATGGGAGAAACAATGCCACTGGCAAACTCCTGCTCCTCCTTCAGAACCCAAGTGAGATGTCACTGCCTCTGAGAAGCTTTCCCTGACTTCCCATGATGGGTCAGATCCCTGGTCTGTGTCTTCACAATGCCCAGTGCTTTCCCCATCACATTACCCCCTTCCCTGGGCCTTGTGCCCTGCCTCTCAAAACCATGGCAGCTAGGTCAGCCCATCCAAGGTATGCAGTGTGTGCCTGTATCCACCCACCCGCCTCCCTCCGGGCACATGATCCTAGGCTATATCTTGGAGCCTTGGGAACTAATGGGATGCCAGGGTTCCCAGGGCAGTTTAGTGCCTCTGGGCATTGAAAATCTTGGCTGAGGACAAGTCGGCTCTCAGAAGCCCTAGCACCTGAATATTCCCTCAGCAGATGGAAAAACTGCAATCAGTGGGCACTATCAGAGCCTTCTCTTGGTAGAGCACATGAGCCTGGAGTGCTCCCCTGCCGCTAGCTTTTGTCTCTTTCACTGCACTGAAGGAAGCTCTGCTGGCACAGAAAAACCAGACATCCCCACCCCCACCCCAGTCCTCTTTGCCCGGAAGGTCAGGGTCCCCCAGACTGGCTAAGCCGACGCTGGTAGGATGTGTGTGTGTAGAAGGCTCCAGCTAGGCTGCTCCTGCCCCAGGACAGAGGGCAAGGCTAGGCCAGCCTCCCCAGGTGAAAAGATATGCCTGGGCTGGGCCTGGTGAGTGGAGAAAAATTCCCTTAGAAGGAAACAGAGGTGAATTTCCCCATGATTTGCATATGATGGGGGCTAGCCCATCTGCCCCTGGGGAGGGGGGCAGCCAGGCAGGAACCGAGTAGCAGCTGAGACAGGAAGTTTCAGGCTGGAATTCCCCTCCTGCCACTGACCCAGCTCAGAAACCCCCAGGCTGGTGGGTGGCTCTGCTTCTTAGGAGCAGGCTCCCTCTGAGCACCCCACAATATCACAGCCCCTCCTCCCACGTCCCTCCTCCTTCTGGATACAAACACACACCGCACATGGCTGTTCCCAGGGCTCAGCCGCTCCTGGCCCAGGCCTCCAGGGGAAGGAGTCACACAGATCCAGCCTAGCTCCTGGCTCACCCACAGAAGGCTGGACACTCAGGGGGACCCCCGTAATTTTGAAGCACAGGCTGTGACCTGCTGCCTCTTGGCATAGGAACTGGATTTTCTCAGCCTCTCACCCAGGCTCGGCCCAAGTCAGAGAGAGGAAGACTGGCCTGAAGGTGATAGAAAGGGAAGAGGGCTCAGCTGCATGCCTGCTGAGCCAGGCCAGGGCCAGCTGGACAGTAAACTTGCCCCGTGGGGGCCACAAGTCAGGAACAAGTCAGGGACAAGTCAGGGAGGGCAGAGGCTGATGTCATGCCAGCCTTGGGGCAGCCAGAAAAGGAGCCCTTCCCAACCTCGTGTCTGGGGTCTCCCTGTCCATGCCAACAGGAACTTTTTCCTGTGAGGCATCTACTCAGCACTGACTCACCAGCCTGCCTTGGAGGGAACTGGGGAAAAAAGTGGGGCCAGAGGGTGGGGCCTGGATTGATGGGAGAAGTCTGGGTTCCCCAAGGTCAGCAGCAGTCCTGGCTTCCCCCTCCGCCCCCACCCCACCCCACCCCTTGCCAGAACCTGCTTGGGAGTGGGGGTAGGAGTCACTGGGGCTGAGTCCTGGCTTTGGTCCCAGGGAACCCCCAGAGACCAGTCCAGCCTAGGCTGCTTCAGCTGAATCCGCGGGGATCCAAGTCGCAGTTTACCTGAGGCCAGAGCATCAGGCCACCTGCCCACCGCTCAGGTAAAGCTGGACCCAGTCTTAGGGTCATTCTTGGACATAGTGGCTGAGCCTGTTTCAGTGGGAGCCCAGGTATGAGACGAGAAGGTCTCAGAAGCCCAGCCTCTGAATAACAGCAACTGCTACTACCACTACCTACAATACCTACTACCAGTACCTACTACCACTACTGCAGTTACTGAATGATTGCTCCTCTCCAGGATCTGCACAATCCATCCTCACAACACCCACCTGGGGAGATCAGGTTCAGTGGAGTGAGTGAGCTGCCGCCCACAAGCTAGTCCCTACACAGCTCTGCAGAGAGGATCAGAGACACAGTACTGGCCCCAGGGAGGGACCAACAGCATAAGGTGAGCTCTGCGGACAGAGGGGACTGGGCTGATCCCTGCCTCTGTCACTCACCAGTAGCATGACGCTGGGCAAGCCTCATAAAAGGCTTGGGATCCCTAAGAAGGAAGTCACTCCTTTCAGCCCATCAGAGCTGCAGAGACAGTCATCCTTCTATATGTCCTGGTCACAGGAGAGACGTGAACCTCATGTATCCTGGCCACAGAAGCGACACTTACCTCATGGCTACATTGCTCCCATCGATGACCACCGGTCTCAGGTCGCTGCCCTCCTTGTCCTCCTCTGGGAGCGGAGGCTCCAGGTTGGGAGCCTTAGGGGTGCCCCCACCCCGTGGGACTAGAGGGAGCTGAGGGCAAGGGTCTGGTGAGACCTGGCGCTCCCGCTCGGTGGCCATCCCGTGTTTCACCAGCTCGCCCAGCACTGTGTTGGTGTCTGCCTGGATGCCCAGCTTCTGCAGGACACTGTGGATCTCTGAGGATGAATATCCCAGCTTCCGGAAGAAGTCCACCTTCATCTGCAGCTCCAAGGCCGAGGCCTCCTCAGCGGCCGGCCCTTGGGCCAGCCTGGAGGTGTCCTGACTGCTGTGGCTGTCCTCAAAGTCCCACAGACTCATGGCGGGGATGACTTCCGACACAGGCCTCTCTCCACAGGGGCCACTCATACCTCAGACTCCTGGAAGGCACTTGCCACAGCTCCTACTGAACAACCAACAGGGTTAGGGATGGGGAACAGCGCTCTCTCCCACCCCCCCTCCCATCACCATCCAGCAGGAGGAGGGATTGGTGGCACTACACACTACATAGTGTGATTATCTCAGGTTGTCCTCTCAAAAGCCCTCCCGGCTAGGCATTCCCACTCTCATTCTATGAAGGGAGAAACTGAGGCAAACATTAAAAATGTGCTCAAGGTCATCCAGCTGTTAGCTGTTGGCCTAAGGATCGGAACTTAGTCTGATTCCACTTCCCACTCTCACCTCCACGCCAACCCAGGCGACTCAGAAGGAAGGGACGGGGTTCTCAGATGGAATCCCGGGGCTTCCCCACTGAGGCCATCTCTTTCGCCCACCAGTCAGGTACTCAGAGCCTAGGTCCAGGCAGCGCAGGCCCGTGGCCGGACTCCCAGAGCCGGGGAGGGCAAGTTTCCGGGGTGACCCGCGGGGAGAAAAGTTGCTGGGAAACTCTGGTTGGCTGACGGGAGCTGGTGACGCCGAGGCTGTCCCAGCCTGAGACCCACGCTCGCTTGGTCCCCGATCCGGACCCGGGTGCTCTTCCCCGGCCCTCACAACTTGGGCTAAGTTGGAGGGATCCTGAGGCCCGGCGGGCCGGGGGAAGAGGACCCCGCCCCTCCCCTCCCCTCGGCTCGGACCCCGAAGGAGCGCTCCCCGCCGCGGCCTGCGCCCTTCCCGCCTCGCCTCACCTCGCCGAGCGCCACCCGCGGCCGGCGGCGTCTCCATGGGGCCGAGTCCCGGGGGCAAGGCCAACGGAGCCTTTATAGGGCAGGTGGTGGTGAGGCGCTGACGCGGAAGCGGGTAGGGGGCGGGGTCGCCCCGGGAGACCGCCCCTGGGCGGAGCTTCCGCCCCCTTCCTGCTCCGCCCCTCGCGCCCCGGCCCCGCCCCCTCCCTGCCCCCAGGGCCGCTGTGCGCCGGGCGGGGCCAGCGACGGGGTGGGATCGGGGGCCTGGGGACAACGCCTCAAGGCCGGGGCGGCGACGAACTCCGAGCGGGACACTGAACGGCTCGTACGCGCAAGATTAGCACGGACCTAACCAGGTACACGCACCTGCCGGGACGTACTGACCGAGGTGCGGACGGCACTTTACCAGGACAGGTAAAGACGCGAACGCTCGGACCTAAGAACTTGACAGGTACACCCTGCCTGATGAAGCTACGCCAGGTGCGCTATCGAGTGAGTAAGGTACACAGAGATTGGTCTTTATAACCTTGGAGGCAGAACCATAGTTATAAAGACAGGTACATTCAGACAGGCACTTTTCAGGTGGAGTCAGGCCCTCAAGACACACTGCTCGAAGCCGTCACACAGAGGTGGGCCAACCCCAGGGCCAGGTACACCTTTCCTGAAATCTCTACCTTACCAGGACCGAAAGGCAGATTCAACCAGCAGATGCACAATGGCCGAGGCAGAAAACCAGGCAAAAGAAGGCCATTTACCCCAATCACCACGTGAGTGTCCACACAAGAATACTGTCACCACACCGCAGAACTCACTGATTGCCCCCACTGGAGGAGCTCCCCTGCTCCGTGAAGATGCTTTTAGTTTCCCAGGTCAGACCTGATCCCTCGCTTGAGCAGTTTACAGTATCTACTCAGAGGCTTACAGACAGAGGTCGTTTTGCTGATGTTACCCTTGAAAAATTCTGCAGGGCTAAACTGCCCCAGCTGGAAAGACTTGAACCAGGATAAAGAGCTCCTATTCTAGCGCTCCTATTATTTGCCATTTTGTGAACCACCGGTGAGTAAGGGCAGAGGGGAGCCTGGCTTCCAGGGTGTGTGTGTGTGTGTGTGTGTGTGTGTGTGTGTGTGAGAGAGAGAGAGAGAGAGGACACAGAGCCCACATGCTGGAGGACAGGGCCTCATGCCACCAGAGTTTTCTGTCCTTTCTTACATTCGCTCTACCTCATCATAGGCATGTGTCCTATAAGTGCTGGTGTTATAATTTTTTTATTATAAAAGACACCATAGACACAACTATACGTGCACACCTTAAAGAATAATACTAATAATAAAAAGGCTATGTATCTATCACCTAACTTAAAAAAGACCAGTGCCAGTACCTTGAGGCCCTCTGCGTGCCCCCACCACAGCCTCCTCCCCACATCCTGAAGAACTAGTTTCCTGAATTTTGGTTGTGCTAGTCATTCTCTTGCTTTTTCTCGTAGTTTGTTTGTTTGTTTGTTTTTGTTTTTGTTTAGAATGGAATCTTGCTCTGTCGCCAGGCTGGAGTGCAGTGGTGCAATCTCGGCTCACTGCAGTCTTCACCTCCTGGGTTCAAGAGGTTCTCCTGCCTCAGCCTCCCACGTAGCTGGAATTGCAGGCACACGCCACCACGCCCAGCTAATATTTGTATTTTTAGTAGAGATGGAGTTTCACCATGTTGGTCAGGATGGTCTTGAACTCATGACCTTGTGATCTACCCGAATCGGCCTCCCAAAGTGCTGGGATTATAGCCATAAGCCACTGCACCTGGCCTCTTTCTTATAGTTTTATCACCTTTGTATGCATCCCTAAATAGGATATTGTATAGCTATTTTTCACTTTGTGTAAATGGAATCATTCGATAACTATGTGACTCCTTTTTCATACTGAATTATATTTTTAAAAATCCATTTTGATTGCCTGCATACCTGTAATTTATTTTACTACTGAAAAGTGTCCCATTTTATGAATATACCACAGGTTACTTACTCATTTCACCTGTTGTTGGATGTTGTTTCTAGGATTATTTTTCTGTTACAAAGACTGTGCTTTAGATATTCTTGTATGTATTTTAATGAAATTGTATAGCAGAGGAAATGGATGTTCAGATTCCGAAAGATGAAGTCACTTGCTCAGGTTTCAGGGGCTGCTGGAGCTGGAACTCATGTAGCTCTCTCCAAGGCTGTGTGCCAGTCCTTTCTTACATTCCCTCTACCACATCATAGGCATGTGTCCTGTGAAAGGGCCAAATCCCTCTCGTGTCTGAGACTCCTGGTATATTTCAAAAAGTCCATCTCCCCATTCACACCTGCTTGTTTGGCAAGCCACCAAAGACCCCAGTGAGGCCGGTATATGCCTTTCTAGCTGGGCCCTGAGGCTGTTCCTCTGGGCTTGCCCCTGCCTAGCCATGTTCCTGCTTTATTGACTGGTCATCTTTGAAGACCCCAAAGTGTCCCCTTCTCTGTGCCCCCGAGGCACAACAGCTCCAGTGGCTTGGCAGCCCGTGGAGAGAGGAAACACAAGGTCCCCTGCCGCATGCCAGCTCACATACCACGCCGGGCACCTCACATGCTGGCTGTCACTCCAGCTGAGTGCAGAGCCGGCTGTTCCCCTAATCTCACAACAGCCCCTTTTACAGCTGAGAAGAGCTCAGGGATGTTAAGCATTTATTCACTGTAGTAACTGCCTTTAAGATAGTAAAAATATTAAGTGATGTGTCCAGGTTAATAGTGATAATGACAGTATTAATCGAGCACAGAGATAACGCCTCCCCTTTATAGAGTGCTCACTGGGTGTAGGCACCACCAGCACACTGCAGACACTTCCGTACTTGTGCTCTGCTTCTTCCTTTGCTCAGAGTGCCCTTCCCTCCCTCCCACCCAGCTGCTTCCTGGCCAGTTCCATTCATCTTTTGGATGATGTTACCTCCTCTGTGAGGCCAGCCAAGACTCCTTTGATGCTGGATTGTACCCTCCTAAGTGCCTCCACAACACCTTGCCTATGTCCCAACATGCTAGATTGTCTTTGCCAGCCTAGGACCTCCTCTGGGACTGCAACAAGACCAGGACTCTGCTCCTGCTCCCAGACCCTCTGCTCCCCAGCCCTATACCAATAAGAGCCAGCAGGACCAGGTGATGAGTCATGAAGCTCCCTGCCCTCCCAGAGAGCCGCAGTCTTGCTCTTTTCCGGTTCATGCTTCCCAAAAAGCTGACTCTCTTCTACGGAACCCAGGGCTTCTTCGGGGAACCCCTGCTCCATTTACAGCTGGATTTTGCAAAGTTCGGCCCTAATCCCCAGGAACTCTCTGATGCCAGGCCCACACATCCCCCTCTGTCTCTCCCATGCCTGTCTTGGTGGCTGGGCTGGCCAGTTTCCTTCCTGGAGCCTGCCTGGTCTTTCACCATCTATCTGCCTCTGCCCAGCCAGCCTAGGTGAGGTCTAAAAAGCTTATGGACTAGTCACTGCCTGAGGGTCGGGGGGTTGGGATGTGAGGTTGGAGAGGGAAAGGTCCCATGACCTTGGCTTTCAGTTGCTTCACTGGACAGCTGAGCCTGGGGGCGACCTGGGAACTGGGCTGCCTCTGTAGGAAGGCTGGGCAGGCTGCCCCCAAGCCTTAGCAGAGTGGCTGCAGAGGTGATGTTTAAATTCAACAAGGCCTCCCAGAAGTGAAGAAAGGCCCAGATTTGAGACTCCTGGTATATTTCTTTTTCTTTTCTTTTCTTTTTTTGAGACGGAGTCTTACTCTATTGCCCAGGCTGGAGTGCAGTGCCGTGATCTTGGCTCACTGCAACCTCCACCTCCTGGGTTCAAGCAATTCTCCTGCCTCAGCCTCCTGAGTAGCTGGAATTACAGGCATGTGCCACCATGCCTAGCTAATTTTTGTATTTTTAGTAGAGATGGGGTTTCACTGTGTTGGTCAGGCTGGTCTCGAATTCCTTACCTTGTGATCTGCCTGCCTTGGCCTCCTAAAGTGCTGGGATCACAGGCGTGAGCCACCGCGCCTGACCAACTCCTGGTATATTTCAAAAAGACTTGTTACAGCAGGGCTATGAAAATTGATGTATGTTTTAAATGGTTACTGAACAAATTAACTTTTCTTTTTTTTAAATCGTGCACTCAAATTCGGTACAATATATTTGGACAATTGACAAGGTAATTGGAGAACTTGTTTTAAAAATACATTATTTCCTTGGAGAGATGGCTGATTTTAGGGCTGGGACAGGGAAAAGATGAGCAGGGAGTGTCTTGTGGTGACAGGGAGTTAGGAAGTGCTCAAAACACAAAAGGATGAGAGCATGTCAAAGGGATCCAGGAACCAGAAGCGCTCCCTAGGGCCAAAGTTGGAGCAAATATCTTTTTTTTTTTTTTGAGACGGAGTTTTGCTCTTGTTACCCAGGCTGGAGTGCAATGGTGCGATCTTGGCTCACCGCAATCTCCGCCTCCTGGGTTCAAGCAATTCTCCTGCCTCAGCCTCCCGAGTAGCTGGGATTACAGGCACACACCACCATGCCCAACGAATTTTTCAGTAGAGACGAGGTTTCACCATGTTGACCAGGGTGGTCTTGATCTCTTGACCTTGTGATCCACCCGTCTCGGCCTCCCAAAGTGCTGGGATTATAGGCGTGAGCTACCGTGCCCAGCCTAAAAGAAATATCTTATTTATACTGATGTAAATTTTTTTGTGTGTTTAGAGCCAGGGTCTTGCTCTGTTGCCCAGGCTTGAGTGCAGTGCTGTGATCATAGCTCACTGTAACCTTGAGCTCCTGGGCTGAACCGATCCTCCTGCCTCAGTTTCCTGAGTAGCTAGGACTACAGTTGTGTACCACCAAGACTGCCAAATTAGAAAAATTTTTTTGTGGAGATGGGGATCTCACTATGTTGCCCAAGCTTGTCTTGAACTCCTGGCCTGAAACAAGCCTCCACTTTGGCCTCCCAAAGTGCTGGGATTTCAGGCATGACCCACCACACCCAGTCCTGATGTAAATAAATTGTTGAATCACTAACCAACTGGGGGAGAAGAGGCAAATCTTCCTTACAGAGGAATTTCCAATAATGAATGTAGATTCTTTCTCTAGGAGGTGGAGCCTTCATTGTTCCTTTTCCTTCCCTTTCCTGTACACTGGACTCAGGACTTGCTTTTAAATAATAGAGTAGGGAAAGAGAAGAATAGTAACTATACCATGGAGAAACCTGCAGACACCACTTTAACCAAGCGCCCAAGGTTAACAGGACCAGGGATAAGTCTAGTGGCTATCATGTAGCTACCCCTGCCCCCCCAACACCATGTTATATGACCAGAAGGGCACTTTACCTCTGTGCTATTCTTTCTAAAACCCTATAACCCAGAGAAAAAGATCAGACAAACCCTAATTAAAGGAGTTTCTGCAAAATACCTGACTAGGACCCCTAAAAACTGTCAAGATTGTAAGAAGCACATAAATAATTAAAGCATTATGAAAAAGAAAAAAATCAAAATCAAAAGCACAGAAAGACAGCAACAGCCACGCACCAGAGGACACAGGAGACGTGCTGCCTAGATGCAGGAGGCTACCCTAGGTTATGTCAGGGAGCAGAGAGAGCAGGAACAGACAGGCTGGTGAAATCCAAATAAGATCTGCAGTTACGTTACTAATGATGGACAAATGTGGTATTTTTGAGTTTTGACAAATGTACCAGGGTGGTGTAAGATGATAACATTAGGGGAAACTGAAACTGGAAGATGGGTATTCAGGAACTCTCTGTACTATCTTTGCAACTTTTCTATAAACCTAAAGTTAATTCCAAAATTCAGAAGTTAGGATGTGGCAGGCGGGTCACCTGAGGTCAGGGGTTAGAGACCAGCCTGGCCAACATGGTGAAACCCCATTTCTACAAAAATACAAAAATCAGCCAGGTGTGGTGGTGGATGCCTGTAATTCCAACTACTCGGGAGGCTGAGGCAGGAGAACCGGGGAGGCAGAGATTGCAGCGAGCTGAGATTGTGCCACTGCATTCCAGCCTGGGTGGCAGCGAGATTCCGTCTCAAGAAAAAAAGAAAGAAAACAAAATAAACCCCCCAAAATCAGAAGTTTATTTGGTAACTTCATATAAATATGCATATGTGTGTGTGTGTGTGTGTGTGTGTGTGTGTTGTGTGTGTGTGTATATATATATAATTATATGGGCCTTACAGATGGTGTGTTTTGGTGATAGGGCCAACCATCTCTGTTTAGTTCAATGGTCTGCATCCTGTGACTGAGTATAATCCTATTTGGAGATAACATCCACAGTCTAAACTTGCAGCCCTTTTGTCTATGGAGCCCTGGCCAGCTCCTGTCTCTCCTCTTCTCTCTCCACCAACCCCCATGCTGCTACCCCTCTTCCCTGTTTCTGAAACCTCAAATCAGACTGCTAGAGCTAGGAAGTCTAATAGAGATTGATTAGCCCGAATCCTTTGTTTCTTTTCTTTTAAGACAGTCTCTCTCTGTCACCCAGGCTGGAGTGCAGTGGCCCGATCTCGGCTCACTGTAACCTCTGCCTCCCAGGTTCAAGCGATTCTCGTGCCTTAGCCCACCAGGTAGCTAGGACTACAGATGTGCACCACCACACCTGGCTGATTTTTGTATTTTTAGTAGAGACAGGGTTTCACCATGTTGGCCAGGGTGGTCTCAAACTCCTAACCTCGTGATCTGCCTGCCTTAGCCTCCCATAGTGCTGGGATTATAAACATGAGCCACACACCTGGCCTTGAACATTTGTTTCATATATGAGGAGACTGGGGGAGAAAGAGGAAAGGGACTTGCCCCTGGCCACGTGCCAAGTTAATTTGGGCAGAACTGAGAATGGGACTAGCCAGGCTTTCTCTGTCCCAGGACCCCTGGCCCCATTTGCCACAGAGATGGCGGTCGGACCCACATTGGTGCTCTCAAGTATTGGTGACTCACTTGGGGACCTGATCAGGAAGAGCTGAATCCCAAGTATTAGTTGGAAAGAATGATTTGGAGTGGAAATTTCTGCTTTGATCTCACTGAGTGCTCCCTTAACAGGTGAATCCCACTAGTTTTGAAGATCCAGGAAAAGTGGATAAAAGATCCAGTCTGTCTCTGCCCCTCACTCCTGTCCCTAGAGCTACTGCAGTGAAGGGGCCAGAGAGGATTCTGCAAAGCCCTGCGCATGTGAAGAGGGGTTGAGTCCCCAGTTTTGAGGTTGAGCACTCCCTAAAATTTCACTGGGGACACAACTCTGGTGATAAACTCAAAGCTGTTGGAGAACCTCCATGGCCTTCCCTGAAACCTGGAGTGTAGGGGGTGGGGCTGAGGCTGCTGTGAGCACATTCATGCCTTCTGGCCTAGGACGGGGAGGTGCCTCCCTCACTGTGTTTCCATACTGAACTGCCATGGTCTGTGCCTCCATTGTCTCCCCACCTGACTGGGCTCCTTGAGGATGGCCCCGAGTCTCACTGTCCTCTGCATTCCCAGCACAGGACCTGGCACGAATGTTGGTAAACATTTGGTGAGTCAGTGATCGCATGAGCTGAAGTGGTTCCAGTTATGTTTTGCTGTGCACATGTCTGTTGCCCCTCCTCACCAAGTACAGCCTGTGGACCTCCCCTTGCATCTGAAAAAAGTAGTTACAGGGAAGTCAGCTGGAAGGGAGCTCAAGGCTCACCTGGGGTCTCCAGCTATGCCGTCTGTGAAGGTTCAGATGGGAGTGGAGAACTAGAAGCTGAACACGGATGAACTTGCCACCAGGGCAGCTCTAAGCAGGGTCAGGAACTTGCAGTGGCTGGGCTGACAGCAGCTCATGTGGTCAGTGTGGCCACCCACAGATGGGGTGGTCATAGAGAGCCCCTCACAAGATTGGTGGGTCACTAATGCACAGTTCACATGGTGGTCATCTGTTCTGATGGCAGTTAGAGGTACCACTGGCCAGTAAACATTCCATAGAAGATGCTGGTTGTCTCTCCCACACCGTTTGCTGGAGTCACCATTCCTAATGGTACTGGAAACTTCTCAGCCATGTGATCTGGTCAGAAAGGACCCTGTTCCCAGGGGTGGGGCCTAACTGCCTTAAGCAAATCAGCAAATCAGAATATTTCTTTTTTCTTTTATTTTTGAGACAGAGTTTCACTTTTGTTGCCCTGGCTGGAGTGCAATGGTGTGATCTCGGCTCACTGCAACCTCCACCTCCCAGGCTTAAGCGATTCTCGTGCCTCAGTCCCCCGAGTAGCTGGGACTACAGATGCACCACCATGCTCGGCTAATTTTGTTTATATTTGGTACAGATGGGGTTTCACCATATTGGCCAGGCTGGTCTCAAACTCCTGACCTCAGGTGATCCACCCACCTTGGCCTCCCAAAGTGCTGAGATTACAGGCTTGAGCCACGGCACCCAGCCTACAAATCAGAATAGTCTTAAAGTTCTTAGGTTTCTTTTTTTTTTTTTATGAGATGGGATCTCACTCTGTCACCTAGGCTGGATGGAGTGCAATGGCACGATCTCGGCTCACCGCAACCTCTGCCTCCTGGGTTCAAGCAATTCTCCTGCCTCAGCCTCCCGAGCAGCTGGGACTACAGGTGCGCACCACCATGCCCAGCTAATTTTTGTATTTTTAGTAGACACGGGGTTTCACCTTGTTGACCAAGATGGTCTCGATCTCTTGACCTCGTGATCCACCCACCTTGGCCTCCTAAAGTGCTGGGATTATAGGCGTGAGCCACTGCGCCTGGCCTAAACCCTTTTTAAAAATAAATTTATTTCATCATTTTTACAAGATATAGAAGATACGTCAAGAAAATTTATTTCATTTTAGATCAGTCGGATCCCAAAGATTGTATTAGAAAGTGTATATGTAAAAAGATTCATTATTTTTCTGGGTGCAGTGGCTCACACTTGTCATCCTAGCACTTTAGGAGGCTGAGGCAGGCAGATCATGAGGTCAGAAGATTGAGACCATCCTGGCTAACAAGGTGAAACCTTGTCTCTACAAAAATACAAAAAATTAGCTGGGCGTGGTAGCATGTGCTAACTCTTTTTTTTTTTTTTTTTTTTTGACACAGAGTCTCGCTCTGTCACCCAGGCTGGGGTGCACTGGTGTGATCTTGGCTCACTGCAACCTCCGCCTCCTGGGTTCAAGCCATTCCCCTGCCTCGGCCTCCTGAGTAGCTGGGACTACAAGCACGTGCCACGACGCCTGGCTAATTTTTGTATTTTTAGTAGAGATGGGGATTCACCATGTTGACCAGGCTGGTCTTGAACTCCTGACCTCAGGTGATCCACCCACCTTGGCCTCTCAAAGTGCTGGGATTACAGGCTTCAGCCACCATGCCCGGCCATATTTAATTAGGATTGTTATTATTTTTTTCTGCCTAGATTTCAGAAGACATTTAATTATTTTAAAAACAAACTTTGTGCTTGGTTTCTAAATGAAGAGATGAGACAGAAGATATCACCTCCTCAAACAAGCCATTTCAGCTATGAATAGCTGTTATTTCCAAAAGGTGAAAAGCTACAATGACTCTATTTTCTCTTTTTAGTGTTCATTTTTGAAGTTCTAGAGACATCTTGATGTTCTCGGTAAGATTTTTTTTTTTTTTTGGCTGGGCGTTGTGGCTCACACCTGTAATACTAGCACTATGGGAGGCTGGGTGGGTGGATTGCCTGAGGTCAGGAGTTCGAGACCAGCCTGACCAGCATGGTGAAACCCCGTTTCTGCTAAAAATACAAAAATTAGCCAGGCATGGTGGCACACACCTGTAATCCCAGCTACTTGGGAAGCTGAGGCAAGAGTATGCTTGAACCTGGGAGGCGGAGGTTACAGTGAGCCGAGATTGGGCCATTGCACTCCAGCCTGGGCAACAAGAGGAAAACTCCGTCTCAACTCCATTTGAACAGGTGATCCATTTACAATGTAGAGATTCAAAAGGCACAGGATGTTTATGGTAGAAACAGGATCCCTTTTTCCTGGTCCTTAAAGTGGCTCTGCTGTCCAGGAACAAGCAAAGTTCGCAGTTTCTTATGTCTCTTCTCAGATGGAATCTATGCATCCAGGAGCAACTGTTTGCACATATATATTCAGCTTTGTTTCTTTTTCTTATTTCTGAGGATATCTTGCTCCAGATTTTTCTTCGCACTTTTCCTTTTTTGTTCTTATTTCTGAGGTGTTGCTCTTTATTTTTACATAAATGAAGCTCTTTCTATAACCAGCTACACCTTGCTTTTCTCACTTAAAAATAAACCTGAGATAATTCTAATCAGTACATGGTAAGCTACCTTGTTACTGTTAACAGCTGAAAAATATTCCATTGGAAGAATGTACCATATTTTATTTAAGCAGGTTTTGACTAATTAAACATTTTGTTTTTTTCAATTTTTTTTTTTTTTTAAGTTAGGGTCTCCTGTCATCCAGGCTGGAGTGCAGGTGTGTGATCTTGGCTCACTGCAGCCTTGACCTCCCAGGCTCAAGCCATTCTCCTACCTCAGCCTCCCAGGTAGCTGAGATTACAGGGGTGCACCAATATGCCTGGCTAATGTTTTTCTTTTTGAAACAGGATCTTTCTCAGTTGCCCAGGCCAGAGTGCAGTGGTACAATCTCAGCTCACTGCAACCTCTGCCTCCTCAATTCAAGCGATTCTCCTGCCTCAGCCTCCTGAGTAGCTGAGATTAAAGGTACATGCCACCACACCCTGCTAATTTTTGTATTTTCAGTAGAGACAGGATTTGATTATATTATCGAGGCTGCTCTTGAACTCCTGACCTCAAGTGATCTACCTGCCTCAGTCTCCCAAAGTGTTAGGATTACAGGTATGAGCCACCACGCCTGGCCCTGGCTAATTTTTGTATTTTTTTTTTTGTTGTTGAGACGGGGTTTTGCCATGTTGCCCAGGTCGATCTCCAACTTTTGGGCTCAAGTGATCCTCCCGCCTTGGCCTCCCAAAGTGCTGGGATTACAGGCATGAGCCACCGCACCCGGCCTCTCATTACTGTTGACAGCTAAAAAATATTCACTGGAAGAATGTACCATTGTTTACTTAGACAGTTTTTGACTGATAAACATTTAGGTTTTTTCCAGTCTTTACTGTCACAAACAATACTGCAGCGTATGCCCTCATCTATGTATCACTTTGTGACCGTGCAAATACGTAGCAGAATAAATTCCTCTTGTTGGGTTAAAGAGCTCGTTCATTTGCTAGGGATGCCATCACCAAGTACTACAAACTGGGTGGCTTAAGCAACAGAAATCCATTGTCTCAGTTCTGGAGGCTGGGAACCCAAGGTCAGGATGTTGGCAGAATTGGTTCCTTCTTTTTTTTTTTTTGAGATGGAGTCTCCCTCTATCGCCCAGGCTGGAGTGCAATGGCGAAATCGGCTCATTGCAACCTCTGTCTCCTAGGTTCGAGTGATTCTCCTGCTTCAGTCTCCAGAGTAGCTGGGATTACAGGTGCACACCATCATGCCTGGCTAATTTTTGTATTTTTAGTAGAGACAGGGTTTCACTGTGTTGGTCAAGCTGGTCTTGAACTCCTGACTTTATGATTTGCCCACCTCACCCTCACAAAGTGCTGGGATTACAGGTGTGAGCCACCCTGCCTGGCCCAGAATTGGTTCCTTGTGAAGGCTATAAGGGAGAACCTGTTCTGTGCCATTATGGGTTCTGGTAGTTTGCTGGCAATTGTTGACATTCTTTGACTTGTAGAAACATCACCCGGAGGTCGACCTTGATGTTCACGTGGTGTTTTCCCTGTGTCTGTGTCCAAATTTCCTGTTTTTGGGGGATGCAATTCAGCCTATAACAAAGGGTATAAAACCATTTACTTTTAGAAAAATGTTGCTAAATCCCCTCTTCATAGACATTGTACCATCAGCTGGCTTGCAGTGGCTTACGCCTGCAATTCTAGCACTTTGGGTGGGCAGATTGCTTGAGCCCGTGAGTTCAAGACCAGCCTGGGCAACACGGTGAAACCCTGTCTCCACAAAAACAGACAAAAAAGAAAAAAAAAGCTGGGAGTATTGGTGCACATCTGTAGTCCCAGCTACTTGGGAGGCTGAGGTAGAAGGATTGATTGGGCCTGGGAGGCCAAGGCTATAGTAAGCCCTGATTGCGTCACTACACTCTAGTCTGCGTGACAGTGAGACCAAGAAGAAAGAAATTGTACCCTTACCTTCCCACTAGCAATGAGGAAAGTGGCCTCCGTCCCACAGCCTTGCCAACATAGTGGGCCATCACACATTTTGATTTTTGCCAGGCTGGTAGGTTAAAAGTGGTGTCTCGTATTCCAATGTGCATTCCATTTATAAGTGAGGATGGGAGTTCTCTTATCATACATTTAAGACCAATTTGCATTATTTTTGCATTCAGTTGTTTGTATCCTTTGCTTATTTTTCTCTTGAATTATTGGTCTTTTAACCCTATTCATTCATAGAAGCTCTTTAAACATAAAAGAAATTAGCTATTTGTGATAAGTTTCAGATATGTTCTTTTCCTGTTAGTCAACCATGGAGGCTAATGCATCAGGTTGGGTGCAGTCAGAATTGAGGTCAAATCCTGCAAGGCCTGTTTTGCTCATCTGCAGAATAGGGAGGAGCTAACAATACCGCCCTCCTCAAACTGGTGTGAAGAATTCAGTGTCCTGGTGTTTGTAAAGGGCGTGGTATAGTGCCTGACAAGTAGTCCGTGGATTGACTTGATAGAGGCCATCACTTCACCCTTGTTCATTATTGGATGGAGAAACCAGGGTCCCAGAGACACTGGCTGGCTGGGACAAGATCATCGCTCATTCCTATTGACAGCTGGGTTAAAGGTGCAGAAGACATGCTTCTTCGATTTGCAAATGACCCAAAACTAGATGCAGTGGCTGGTATTTTAAATGACCAAACAAGGGCTCAAAAGCCCCTAACGCAGATGAGATAATAGACGAACCCCTCTAGGGAGGGATGTAAAATGAAAAGGTTTTGCATGAAAGAGATGTTGGCGGAAGTTTTGTTGCACATGGAGACAGCCGCCCCAAACGATTGATCTCAGGCTGAGTCTATAGAGGTATAGGTTGACGATGAGGGAGGTGAGAGCTGCAGGGTTGTGTTCAACTCTAGTTGTTGTGTGTTTGAAGAGACAGTGAGAGACTAGAGCCCAGTTTGCGGAGGGTAAAGGATAGTGAGGAACTGGGATACTGATCTTGGAGAAGACTAAAAGAGGCAGAGGCAGGAACAGTGGTATAACCCTGCCTGGCTCCAAGGGCAGAACTGGCTCCCATGGAGATAACAAGGGCCTGAGAACCAGCTCTGTGGCTATCAGAACTGTCCCACAGTGAATCAGAGTGCCTTCAGAGGTAGTGAGCTCCCCATCACCAATGGTATGCAAGTAGATTGAGGAAAGGATTCCTGTTTCCAGCTCTCAGATCGTTTAATCAACAACAAAAAACTAGACCCTACTGATAAAAATTTCTGTTGGCTACGTTAGCATATATGGTCAACAGATATGTAATCCGTATTTTCTCTATTTTAAGGCTTTCTTTCTTTATTTTTTTTGAGATAGCGTCTCACTCTGTCACCCAGGCTAAAATGTAGCAGCAGGATCTTGGCTCACAGCAGCCTCGACCTCCTGGCTCGAGCCATTCTCCCTCCTCAGCCTCCTGAGTAGCTAGGACTACAGGCGCCTGATACTACACCTGGTTAATTTTTGTATTTTTTGTAGAGATGGAATTTTGCCGTGTTGCCCAGGCTGGTCTCAAGCTCTTGGGCTCAAGCGATCCACCTACCCCTGCCTCCCAAAGTGCTGGGATTACAGGCGTGAGCCACCAGGCCTGGCATACTTTAAGAAAACGAATATCACAGAAATTGGGACTAATTTACAATCAATGTGTAGGTTTATTTCCTTCCTTCCTGAAAAGTTGTTATTTGAATCAAAATGAAGTATATGATCGAGCAGGTTTCTGTTGGCAATCTGTTGTTTTTCACTTTTGTCATTAGAATATATGTCTTGAATTTAAAAACAAAATATCTAAATAGATAACAAATATTTTTTAAAAATCCAGCCTCCTCTCTTTAGTGAAGCCACACTCAATTTATTGAATCCATCAAGCGCTGACATTCCACCTTGTCGTTGCCGTCCTGGCCTCTGAAAGAGAATGGGCCGGCTATTAAACCAGTTTTCTAGCAAATTCAGAGCAGCAGGTTCTTGGCTGGGGCGAAAACATTCCACTTATCAAGAGATATTATTCCTACAAAGGATGAGAACCTTCTTCTTCATAAAGAGAATTTGGAGGGAGCTTTTGTTCTGCAGAGACAACATCTGGATTTGAATACATCCCTGCTCAAAAGGAGATTTCTCATAATGGACCCAACTGAAAGCACTCAGAGTACAAGGACCGGTGAGCTTTCAAAAGCAGGCACTTCAGGAGACTCGCCAGGGGCGCTCGTATCCCCAGCAGCGCGAGTTTTGGAGGTCAGTGGAGAGCTCTCGCGCCATGCGTGTAACTTTCATACTCAAAGACTTATCTTCATCCTCCACCCCCATCCCGCTGCAGAAACTTGGGGCTTGAATTCATTTAAAAACATTTGTGGTTTCAGAAGGCTCCTTTTTATTATAAAGCTGCCAAGGAGATCTTAGAATGAAAGGCATTTTTAGAGATGAGAAAGAAGGAAGCCGGGCCAAGGCCAGCCCGGCTCTCAGCCGTGGGTCTGTAAAGGTGACACGTGGGACGTGGCCACCTGCAGACCCTGCAGGCGGCTGGGCGGAGGCGCCTGGGCAGAGACGCCCAGTGGGACCTGGGTTTGAATCCCTGCTCTGCCAGTCATGTCCGCAGCTGATCTTGGGGAAGTTGCGTAACCTCTGGGCCCTGCGATGCCCTTTCCTGGAGCTGGAACGAAGCCCCTTGGAGCCCTGACATCAGAGGTGACGCTAGTCTTCGCAGGCAATGACTTGGCGGAATGTGATGCCACTCCCTAACCCACGTCCGGGCTGGAGGGGGTGTGTCACCTCCCACCAGGTGGTCCGGCTGCTTTGGTGGGTCTCCTAACTTCCCTGCACCCTACAGCCCTCAGTGCTGGCCAGACCTTCACTCACTCCTGACAACCTTGTTTTCAGCTAGCACGTCGACAGACTGGCCTGTGGCGCCCCCTGCTGGTGACTGCTGGAAGAAGGGTGACTTCCTGACCCAAAGGAAGTCCTTCTTGGGGTCTAACCTCTACCTCTGGCTTGATAAGGCAACTGGGGTGGCTTGCTTTCTCCTCCACCCTAGAAAATAAAGTCATATAGATTCCAAGCAGTTATTTTTCTTTGCTAGGCCAGGCCACTGTAAGCCCCAAATGTAGGCCCCCTGGAATGAGCCCTATGCAGGCTTTCTAAGGACAAGGGCCCTTTGGGGAGTTGGACTGTCGTGAGGATGGGGTGCATGTGTGGGGGCTCTCACCTGGGCATGGGAAGATCAGAGGGACCCCAGAGGTCAGGGTTTGTAGATGAAAAAATGAAGGTAGGGAGCTTCAGCCCAAAAGTAAAGTTTTGGGCCAGCCCCAGCCCACTGCCTTCCTGGGACTTTTTTTTTTTGAGACAGAGTCTCACTCTGTTGCCCAGGCTGGAGTGCAGTGGCGCGATCTCGGCTCACTGTAACCTCCGCCTCCCAGGTTCGAACAATTCTCCTGCCTCAGCCCCTCAGCCTCCCAAACAGCTGGGACTATAGGCGCATGCCACCATGCCTGGCTAATTTTTTGTATTTTTAGTAGAGGCAGGGTTTCACCATGTTGGCAAGGATGGTCTTGATTTCCTGACCTCGTGATCTGCCTGCCCGGGCCTCCCAAAGTGTTGGGATTACAGGTGTGAGCCACCGCGCCTGGTCTGGAACCAGTTTTTTCATTGTTTCCCTGTAATTGGTGAAGGGCCTTCAGTTAGCCGTTTCTCTGAAGGTTAGAGAAAGCAAGAGAGATGCGAGTTGAATACAAGGAGGGACGTCTTAATGATGGGGGATGCCAGACCTCAGAAAGGGGAGCAGGGGAACCTTCCCGTTGAGGGCAGCCTCCAGTGGAGTGGGGTCCAGGCCAGGAGGGTGAGATGGCCCCAACACTGTCCGTCTGGCGGGGCCTGGGACCAGTGTATAGTCTATGGGGTTCTCAGGATGGAAAGTCCTCTTGAGAGGATTATGGTGGTTGGGGCTTTGGCAGATGGGATGGTGAGGATGGGCAGCTGGAGAGACCAAGGCCCAGGGGCATTACCACCCCCAGCCTTCCCCACCTGGGAAACCCATCTTCCTTCTCATCTTGTCTCCTCTGTGGTCACTGTCTGGTCCCTGCAAGGTCACGTAGCTTCCCTCCACGTGCTCCTGTACCCCTGTGGAGCTCATGTGCTATGACAGCAGCCTCCATGTCTGTCCTGCCTGCTGGGCTGTGAGCTCTACGTGGGCTGAGAACTGTCTGTCTTGCTCCAGCCTGGCTCTGACTCCAGCACCTGACACAGCTAATCCTGCCTGGCATGTCCCGGTGCTCAGTGACTTCAACTGAGCTTCAAAAGAGGCCCAGGGTCTTCTTTGGGCCAGCTAAGCTTGGCTTTAGAAAAAGTTGGGGCAGGCCAGGTGTGGTGGCTCACACCTGTAATCCCAGCACTTTGGGAGTCCAAGGCAGGTGGATCACCTGAGGTTGGGAGTTTGAGACCAGCCTGACCAACATGGTGAAACCCTGTCTCTACTAAAAATATAAAATTAGCTGAGCGTGGTGGTGCACGCCTGTAATCCCAGGTACTCTGGAGGCTGAGGTAGCAGAACCTGGGAGGCTGAGGTTGCTGAGGTCACGCCATTGCACTCCAGCCTGGGTGACCTAGGCACTCTGACTCAGCTCTAGGTTCTGACATCCCTCTCCTGGCTGGCTCTGCTTCCCACGCTGGACCCATCCCCTGCATGGCTGCCTTGCTCAATCTGCCTGGGTTCTGACACCCACATCAGACTGACCCCATGTGGGTGACACCCCCTCACCCATTTGTACTCTGACAGCCCAGGACCAGGCTGCCTCCCTCAGTGGTCCCCTTCCTCACCCTGCTAGGACGTCCTGCTGTGTTCCTTTGTGGCTCCCCGATTCCCTTGCTTTGCTTCCCCTAATGGCTTTAGGACTGAATTATTCAGGAAGGAAAGGAGAGAGGAGGAGTAGAACTGTTTTTGAAAAAATTATTTTAACTGTGTAAATTTTTGTGCAAGAAAAATTTTGGACAGAATAATACAATGGAGTTGCTGTGGCTGAAGAAAGAGTGAAAGAGAGATGGAGAAAGAGAAGAAGGGAGAGGAGAGAGTGCAGAGAGGAGAGGGAGTGGGAGGGAGGACAGGGGAGGGGAGAGGGGAGGAGAAGGGAGGCACAGAGGAGGGGAGAGGGGAGGGAATAGGGGAGGGGAGGGGGAGGGGAGGGGGAGGGGAGAGGGGAGGGGAAGGGAGAGGGGAGGAGAAGGGAGGCACAGGGGAGGGGGGAGGGGAGGGGATAGAGGGGAGGGGAAGGGAGAGGATGGGAGGGGAGAGGGGAGGTGAAGGGAGAGGACAGGATGGGGAGAGGGGAGGAGAAGGGAGAGGACAGGGGAGGGGAGAGGGGAGGGAAGGGGAGAGAACAGGGGAGGGGAGAGGAGGGGGAAGGGAGAGGATGGGGAGGGGAGAGGGGAGGGAAGGGGAGAGAACAGGGGAGGGGAGAGGGGAGGGGAAGGGAGAGGACAGGGGAGGGGAGAGGAGGAAGCCCTTCAAAGCCTCTGGAGTCCCACCCACTTGGTCCCACACCCTCAGAACTCTCATCTGTCATTAAGCCCTTGGGGTTCCTAGGCCTGCAGTTTGGGGACCACAGGACAAGAATTCTGCCTCAAATAAAATGGGTGGCACATAGTAGCGGCTAAGATGTCTTCTCTGAGCTTTTCTGAGAAGCAGCCCAGGAAACGGTGGGCTCACCATGTACTCTGAGTAGCTCTTGAAGCCAGGCAGGGATCACATGGAGCTTGAGGGCAGCAGCTGCCCCTGCCCGGGAGGAGGTGTATCTGAGCAGAGCTGGGGGCCCTGGAGAGGCGTTGGAGGTGTCCTTCGAGGCCTGGTGGAAGTGGATCTGTGGGTTAGGGGACTTCTGTAGGCTAAGGCACTGGGCAGACACCCCACTCCCAGCCATCTGTGGACCCTCTGTGACCCTTTATGCTCCATCTCTGTCCTCTCCACAGTCACCGGAGAAACAGGACCTGGGTATTCTGCCTTGGTGGCTGAAGCAGAAGTCACTGCCTTCCTAACGCCACTCATGGACTGTACAACACTTTTCAGTTTGCAAAACACTTTCACCGCCAGTCTTTGTGTGCTGTGATCTTTGCAAATCAGAGACAGTACTGCTCTAATTTCCTTGCAGGAAAGAGGAAGTTGAGGACCTGAGATTTCGTAAATTGCCCTCAGGATCAGAGGTGAGGCCGGGAATCCCGGCAGACGCCCACTCCCAGCACCTTCCGGGCACCCCGCCTTTCTCCCAGGCTTTCCCCTCCTTGCCGCTTTCTAATGCTAATTGAGGGAATGAGTTTCCCTGGCGTGAGAGTGGGCTAGGGCTGGGGCTGGGACCCAGGGCTTAGGCAGTCCCGAGGGACTGGAAAATAAAACAGGCCAAGAGCTGGGATCCTTTCCCAACACCAGGGGATCAGCTCCCAGAACCCTGCTTGGGCATGGGGGATTTGGAGTAGGATGACCACACAATTAGTCATCCAGATTAGGACACTTTTAAGAATGAAAGAGAGTGTCATTAAAAGTTATCTCAGGGCAACAGCTGAGAACCCCCACGAGGTCATCCTATGATGGAACTCCGCCCTGCCCTCCCCCTCCGCAGCCTCAGATCCCCCACCCTCACCTGCTGTGGTGTCTCCTGATTGCGAAAGCGGAAGCAGCCGCTCACTTACCTGCCCTGCACTGCACAGAGCCTGTTTTATGGGACCTTGATGACAGTGTGTGGCTGAGCCAACTCTGAGTTCCATTTTATTGATAGAGACACTGAGGCCCAGAAGAAGCTTGCCTAAGAACAGGTGGGGGTGGTGGAGCTGGGATTTGAACCCAGGGAGGCTGGCTGGAAGGATAAGAACATGAGGCTTCCCAAGCCTTTCATCAGACCTTTCCCAGTCTCTCTTAGCTGTCTTCAGCTCAGGGACATCATTAAAGGAAACTCTCCAGCCTGGACAGCATGGTGAAACCCTGTCTCTACCAAAAAAATAAAAAATTAGCCAGGCGTGGTGGTGTGATCCTGTGGTCCCAGCTACTTCGGAGGCTGAAGTGGAGGGCCACCTGAGTCTGGGAGGCGGAGATTGCGGTGAGCTGCAATCGTACCACTGCACTCCAGCCTGGGCAATGGAGTGAGACTGTCTCAAAAAAAAAAAAAAAAAAAAAAAAAAAAAGCTGGGCATGGTGGTGCACTCCAGTAGTTCCAGCTACTCAGGAAGCTGAAGTGGGAAGATTACCTGAGCCCAGGAGGTCAAGGCTGCAGTGAGCTCTGACTGTGCCACTGCACTGTAGCCTGGGCGACAGAGAGAACCTGTCTCTACAGAAATATTTGAAAATTACCCTGGTGTGTTGGGACGCACCTCTAGTCTCAGCTACTCAGGAGGCTGAGGTGGGAGGATCTCTTGAGCCCAGGAGTTCGAGGCTACAGTTAGCCATGACACTCCAGCCTGAGTGACAGAGTGAGACTCTGTCAAGACAAAACAAAACAAAACAAAAAGCCAAAAAGGCCAGTGAGGTGTCTCACACCTGACTGCTTGAGCCTGGGAGTTTGAGACCAGCCTGGGCAACATAGCGAGAACTTGTCTCTACAAAAACCAAAAAAATTCGCTGGGCATGGTGGCGTATGCCTGTGGTCCCAGCTACTGGGGGAGGGGTGCTGAGGTGGGAGACTCCCTTGAGGCCAGGTGGTCGAGGTTGCAGTCAGCTGTGATTGTGCCACTGCACTCCAGCCTGGGTGACAGAGCTAAACCCTGCCTCCTAAAAAAGAGGAAGTGAGTGTTGGGTACGGGGTGGTGGGGGGAGGGAGGGAGGTGCACTCAGCAGGGGGAATGTGTAAGGCGTATTCGGAGGAAGCAGCAGGGTGTCACTGGTCACAGCTAACACTTATTAGGAACCTACTGCATACCAGGCTCTATCTAAAGTGTTTTCAAGGTACTATTCTATTAATCCTCACAACAACCCTATACACTGGGTTGTTTTACAGATCATCGTTTTATGATGAGCAAAACAGGCCACTTGCCCACCACGACAGAGCCAGTAAGTGGCAGAGCCACGACCATCCAGACAGCTCG